TAAAAAAAAAAAAAAGTGATACCTTAAACTTTGCTTAGACAATTTCTTAAACTGATTTTCCTTCAGAATTCTTTTTTAGTGTAATGGTAAGTCTATCTTATATATATCATTTATTGCAAGTCATAGCATTATTTTATATGCCACCAAGAAAGGAAAACAGTGACAGCATTCCTTTAAGACTAAACTTCAGGAAATGCTATTTAATATTATGTGATAAAATGGAGTTATATATTCTAGAAATATGAAAATTTTAAAAATAAATTATTTTGCCCATTTTAGGTAATAATTTCAGTAAAGTTTAGAGGTTCCTTTTAATTTTCCAGCAACTATGATGAGCAGTCCTTTAAGATCTAATATATGTATACATGTAATGGTTCGCTGCCACACAGCCACATACATTTTCTTATCACAGTTCTATCTTCACAGACCACAGTTCTTGCTGTCTTTGACTCTTCAAGTGTGTTTGAGAATATTCTGCATTCAGTGGGAAAATTGAAGAAAAGCCCAGGGCCTGAACTTGCTCTTTTATGCTCATCAATGGCCCATGATAAACTATTATAGATCATCCTTTCATTTCTCCTAATATTTTCACGTGTGAGTTCCAGACTAGATTTTAACTACTCCAGACAGGATCTGTATCTTCCATTTCTCTGTCTCCTCACTCTGTCTACTATGTATAAAAGCAGGGCCATTATAAATGTTATAAGACTTATCCTTGATTCAGTAGCCAGGTAGAAACATCTCCTATTTCTAAAAATCCATATTATATTACAGTGTCGGCAAACCATAGCTTTAATTGCCTATTTGTCAAGATTTTTACTTGCTGGAATAGATAATATAACTTTGTCTAGAAGTCTAGAAGTTAGATCAGAAAAGCCACATTATATTTGCTGGTGCTATAAAATAGAGCATTTTAATAATTAATATATATAAATAGTTTATGGTAGAAACAATAAAGTTGTATCAACTCTACACAAACACTGAATTTCCAAGTAATTTGTAATGAATATACTCATTGTATCACATTTAAAATAATAGTTGAACAATGATTATCATTTTTTGGAACAATTTTCTTTTTAAATTATATGAATTTATGCAATATTATAGTAATTTATTATATTACTGTGCTTGGTAATCTTAAAGAAATGAATTAAAATTCTTGTAATTGTATGTAGAAAATAAAAATTAAATAATTAAAGTCATTTGGCTAACATTATGAAAACGAAGTATTTTTTCCATAAAAATAAATTATATATTTTATATTGAAATGTTACTTTATTAAAGTGTTTAGAAAGTTACATTCATTTTTGGCAGTGTGCTCAAGCATTCTTATTTGCCTTTCCCTCATGCATGATAAAATGAGGTGCAAGCTGCTCATATGTGAGAAAAACAGCTTATTTTCAAGGAAAGGAAATTATACATGAAATAGAATTAATTAAAAAACCCAAGTGTAATATAGAGATACAAAAGTTCACTGAGAAAAAATATTTTCCAAGGCCATTCAGGTGACACAACCTTTGACTATATCAAAAGTAGTTTTTAATCATAGGGCCCTGTAATGTCTATCAAATGAGCATGCTCATCACTGGCAGGCTAAGTCCCCTTTCATAATTTAGAGTGTAGTGTTGGGTCAGTTGACAGAAGCATAGCAGTGGATCCCATGACTGACCACCTTTTATAAAGGACCAAGACAACTCAACACATCCAGTCTCCTCTGAGTGTGACTTCCGGAAGCAGCACCTTTGGCACTACACAGCACTGTTTCCATGTGGCAGCCAGGTGGCGGAAGTCTGTGGCGTGGCACAGCATGAACACAAGCCCAATCCTTATGGCAGTGATATTTCTGAGCCAAATTTGCTGGTTTACTTAGCAAATAGGTGTAAGACTGGGTTTCTATGCTAAACTATTTAACTAAATAGAAAAACATTCGTACTTAACCATGAATAATACATGAATGGCAATTTGGGGATGAGCGTGCTTTTGGCTGTTTCTTCTTCTTGTTCTTACTTTTCTTTTTCTTTTTCTCAGCTTTATTTTTGTTTGCTTTCCTTTTCTTGTTTTCCTCTTTGTACCATGGTCCCCAGACTCCTCCATTGAGCCGAGGGTTACTCCTGGGGTCTTTGGGTGGGTATCTAACAGGCACTGCAGTCTTGTTAAACTGGGAAAGCCTCTTCAGGAGCTTTTTCACGATGCCTGGATATCTGCTAGAGAGATCTACCCTCTCGTACGGGTCAGCTGTGATGTTAAAAAGCCATATGCTCTTGCCAGTCGACAAGGTAATCCGTTCATTGTGCCACCTGTTTGGCCCCAGGTTGCTGAAAGACTGAGGGGGAACCCAGTCACTGTAGCCAGGGTTTCCAGTGAGAAGCTTCCAGTGCTGCACCCTGATGGCTGACTGGATGGCTGTGTTCCAGATCCCATAGCCCGCTGCCCAAGATCCATTTTTTGCCTTGGTGTAAATGGGGTCAATGTTGTGCAAAATATCAACTCGGGGTGAACGAAGGCCTTCACTGATGGTCTCCCAGACATCATAACCATCGAGTTGAGTGTCTTCATCAATCTGTCCTTCAGCCAGTGAAATCAAAGTGGGATACCAGTCGGTGATGTGCACAAGTTCCTTACATACAGTTCCCTTGTTTTTCAGAAGTGGGCTGTGCACAAAGCCAACAGCCCGGATCCCCCCTTCCCAATATGTTCCTTTGCTACCTCTGAGAGGCCAATTACTTCCTCCTGCGGTCGGCTGGCCACCATTATCTGAAGAGTAAATGATAATGCTGTTGTTATAGAAACCATATGCCTTCAGGGCCAAGGTCACATTGTGAATTGCTTCGTCCAAGCAGGAAAGCATGGCGGCGTATCTGCGACGGTTTATGTTGATAATGGATCGGTAGTGTTCAAAGTACTTGCCCGGGGCTTGCAGTGGTGAGTGGACAGCTTGGTAGGCAATATATAAAAATATAGGTTTTGTGGGGTTATGGGAAGCTAGGATTTGCTGCACTCTCTGAGTGTACATCTGTGTGGAGTATATGCCATTGTCGTGGTCCCAAGCAGCATTGTCGTTCTCATACAAGTCATAGCCACACATGCCAGGACTGTCACATTTGTAGTGTGTGTAGTAATCACCACTTCCCAAAAGGGAACCAAAAAAGGTATCAAACCCTCTCTTGGTGGGCATGCATTCTTTCCTATAAAATCCCAAGTGCCATTTTCCCACCATATGCGTTGAATATCCAACTTCCTTCAGTTTCTGAGGTAGGGTTGCATTGTCCAGAGGTAAACAGTTGGGTTGGGTAGGTCTTATGATAGAATGTTGAAGACCTGTGTGTATCTGATACCTTGAGAAAAGAATAAAAACATTGTCAGGACAGCGTCAAAGAGATATTGCGCATAAAACAATGATTCCTAAATTAAATGTTTTTTTAAAGATAAACTTTACCCCAAATTATGTATACCTACCAGTATTTTCCCTCTGATTCAAAAATTGTATTTTAGCTTAAATTTAATATTTGAAATTCATTTGAATCTAAATGAACATTTTTGGAACTGAGGTTTTCCTATTTATTTCAAAGTATTTTTAAAGTCTTTATAATGGAATGTATTCAAGTAAATTTTAATGTCTTAATTATATGACCCCAACTAACAAAATTAGAGAAAGGATATACAGAATTGGAGAATTATTACCATTTTTTTCAATTTAAGGACCTCACGTTAGTTCCTAAATCATTTTGTGAGATCATTTATTTCAACTAATTCTTAAGTATTAAAAACACATGCAAAATTATACAAAAATCTCCTGGTTGATCATTAAACAATATTTCATACTTAGTGCCTAAAATTTTATATCTCTGAGAAGAGACAAAAGGTTTCTGGCTACAGAATATTTATGTTGAAAAGCTATTTTAGAGTAGATGTAGTTTGTGCTAGGAAATTACATTTTCCCATTAATAGCAGAGAATGAGTCCTTAAGTATGTTTTCCACAGTGTCCCCTCTATCCCTTATTTTTGTTACAATTCTTTATATTTTAAGAAAGCATGGTAACTGTTTTACATGTTGAGGGAATGTTAATTTTTAGCATTATTTTTTCCAAACATATTTTTCCAAGGGTTTTGTTTTTTTCTCAGAAGTTGGTTACTATCACATGAATGTATGAATTTTTAGTTGGGTCTGTATGTACCTGTTTATGACATTTTAAAAGTTACTGACTAGAGTTAATTTAATTTAAAAAAGATTTGAAATAAAATATATAAAAATTGTAAAACACAAAGAATGTTATAGAAAATTGTTAGGGTAAAGAGGAAGATATTCTGGGAGTCAAAGTAATATTGAAGTCAAAAATCAAAACCTTTTTCCAGGGACTTAACTTGAAAGGCCAACACGTTATACATACTTTGGGTCAATGGCTTAATTTATTTTTCAATGTTTAAATGACAATGCAGTGCAAATGTGAGTTCTTTAGGAGTGTCCGTGGTGGAGACAGTCTGGTGGCTTTGTGGGAACCATCATGATAGCTGGTTACTATTGCAAGGCTACATTTGTATGTTCCCTGTCCACGCCACTGATCAATAGCAGTCATGCTTTCATAAGAATTACAGTTTTGGAATTTAAAATGTAATAAATTTACAAAAAAATAGATTGCACATACATCATTAAGCACCAAATTCAGAAGGCATTGCTACTATCTTTGGTAATTTTTAATCCAGCTCAAGATCACAAACAATCACTTGTGAAATCACTAATCTTATACAAGTTTGTGGCATCTATCAAGGAAAACTTGGAGAAAATTAACAATAATTTAAAATTATTAATTAATATATTATATATAATTTATATATTAAAATAAATAAGAAATTTGTGTGTGGGGAAAAAGGATCAGCATTAGGTAAATAGCTTAGGAATGAGGTAGGATGTGAAAAATCTGCCCATGATTCTTATTTTATAAAATAATGGAAAATCAACTGTATTGGAGATAAGAATGTTAACCTTACATTTTAATGCCTCTTGATGTAACACAGAAAATTTTTCATTTACATGCTTTTCTGTGCCCTCTGCAATTCTGTGAAGCAGGTATGTTCAATAAATCCAAACTGTTATGGTTTATATCTAGATGTCCCCCAAAGCCTCATGTGCTCATGGGTGGGGCTTTTGGGAGTGACTGGATCAAAGGGCCTGATACTCATCAGTGGATTAGCCCACTGATGACTTTAAAGCTAAATGTGATGTTCACAGGTGAAGCCTAGTCAGAGAGCATGGGTCACTGTTGGTGCAGCCTTCTTCCTCTCTCCTTCACACTCTGCTTCCTGTCTACGATGCCATGAGCTGCTTTACCCCTCTGCCTTTCCTCCTAGCCTTGGAACCAGCCAGCATTGGACTGAAACCTTTACAAACTGTGAGAAAAATAAACCATTCCTCCTTTGTGGGTGTCAGGTATTGTGTCTCAACAATGAGAAAGTAACTGAGACACAAACCAAACCAAACTAAAATAGTATAAAACCCCTCAAAATAATATAGTGGCTTGCTCAAGTTTTAAAGCTTGTGTCTATTCTGGATCTAGATTTCTAGCTTTGCAAATTCTTTCATGTTACACAAATGGCTAAACAGCTAGACCTATTTAAATTTTTGGATCAATTTGTATTAATCTTAGGTATTTATTAATTTGCTCAGTATTACTACATGCATAGTGAGTAGCAGGTCCTCCCTATCCAAAGCTTTGACATCATCAAGTGAGCTGTAAGAAAGATTCCAGGAGCCATAGGGGTGTCTCCAAGGCACAACTTCTCTGAGCCCTGGGATCATGTGCAGAGTAGAACCACTGGTTCTGTTTGTCCTTTATCACCATAAGAATGCCAAAAATGCTCATTTTATTTCAGGAAGAAGATGGTTGATATCTAGAGAAAAGTTTGCTGGTATATTTAGCTTAAGAATGATGATACTTGACAGCAGCAAATAACTTGAAGACCAATCAGACAATTATTCAAAATATGCTACCAAATTCTATTAATTGGTTGAGGATCATGATCTGAAAGGCAATTTCTGGAACAGCACATCAGGACCTTTTCTTTGTCTTCAACTCATTGATCAATGTTACCTATGTCCTGAGTATGGCAATAGAAGAGATGCTTGTTATCTGAAGGAATAGCTAATATTAGTGGCAGAATCAAGAGCCACAGTAATCTAAATGACCTGAAATGTTGAAACAGATTAAATATAGAAAACGAGAAATGTCTTGAAGGGAATATGTCAAAGGGATGCAGAAGCCTGAATGAAAAGCCTCTTAGGGTCAAATCCAAGACAGTTTGGCATCAGAATAAATAGTTATAGTAAAAAGTTATATTCACAAGTAAAGTAGGAAATTTTGAGACCATACTTATATAACTAACCAATAAATCAAGTTTGGCATGAAATAGGATATCTATATAGCCTTAAATTGCCTCCTCATAAAACACTTATTGATTATATAGAGAAAAAGAGAAACTGTGCAAGGAGGAGCCTCATAAACATCAGTTTACTCAAGTTAACAAGCTAATATTATCAGTAGTGAGAGTGAGACAATCCAAAACTGTGCAGGACACAAAACTGAAAATAGGGCAATATAGTTTCTATGATGTTCCAGCCAAAAATGTGACCCAAATTTAATCCTAAGATTTTGTTCTTCAAAGGACTGAGAAACACTTCCAGTATGAAATTAAATGCAATGTGTGACTCTGAATTGGACACACTTGGGGAACTGGGAGAAGTTAAATGGAGTCTCAGGATTAAATGAAAATAGTAATTTTAATTGCCTTATTTTGATGGCAGTTTTGTGACTCAGGAGAATATCTTGGTTTGTAGGAAATAAACAGTATTGAGGGCTGTGGATCTTCATGTTCACAATTAACTATCAAAATGATTCAGGAAAAATTGTTAGTTTGCTGAAATTGCAGTTTTTCTATAAACATGAGATTGTTTCAAAATTTACAAAAAATTTATAAAATTAACTAATATAAATGCAAGATATTTTAGTTTTTAAAGTATCAATTGTTTAACCAATTAGTTCTATAAGAGTGTATACATAGACCTGAGAAGTTGGTCTCAGACCATGAATTTAATAAAAGACAAAAGCGAAAAATGAGAACTAAAATATTAATTAGATAACACATTATATAGGCAGTGTGCAAATTCTGAGAATAATCCCACTCTATGCTAATGCGAACATATCTGGAAAATAATATTCAATATCTATGCCCCAGTTTATATATATTTGTTTATAAGTTACACTCATGTGTTCTAAATTAATTTATGAGCATTATAAAACACACAACATAGAAATTAAAAAGGATGAGTTAAACATTAAATATGAATAGCATCTATGGCAATTCTCCTGGCATCCTAATGAATCAACTTGTTTTGCCCCAAGGTGAAGGTACTTCACACTGGACATTATTGGATTGTACAGAGATGAGACCTGACACACAGAGACTGTTTAGAAGGCCCTTACAGTAGCCTAGGTCAACAGATGATAATGGCTTTTACTACCATCTAGTGGTAGTAAAAATGGAAAGAAGTGGGTCAATCACATGTATCCTTTGAATATAAAACTGGTACAGCTAAACCAGTGAGAGACAAATAGAAGGAATGAGAAGGAAAAGAAAAGATTAAGAATGATTTCCAGATTTGGAGCTTTTATTAACTTGGTGAACAGTCCAAATTATCTCTTGCTTTATTCCAGAATATAGAATTAGGGCTAATGGGTAATATTTCAAGGAGACCTATTCTAACTCAATTCCCCAAATCAATTTTTGAAAAAATAAACAAGAAACAGTAAAACAGGCTAGATGATCATTTGTCAAAGGTTCTGTAAACAAACAAACACACACACAAAAACAAAAAAACAGATCTCTGAGCTGGAAAAGAAGTTCCAGCTGACCACTAAGGTTCCTTCTGACCATGAGAATCCATGGGCCACAGACAATACACTCAGTGTTTCAAGAAGGCTTCCATAAAACCTCAGAATAGCTTTACAAAACCAGTTTTGTAACACGATTTACATTTATTTGATAGAGGAGTTTTTATAATACATCAATATATATTTTAACTTCTTTTTTGCATAACGCAAAATCCATTTTTAAATTTTTTTTTGCATAATACACTCTAAATGTTTGTGTCACCTTGGCTAAAATATAAAGTAAATAATTTTGAAATGTAGTAGATTCTTTTGTAACCGTCTGGCTCTCCGTAAAGAAAATTTCATGGAAAAGTTAGTGAACCCAATGTTGAAATCAAGCCTGCTAAAAGCAATAAGCATCACTTTTTCTTTCTTGACAATTTTAAAGAAAAATGCTAACTGGGTTTTTCAGT